TTGGGGTTGTGAAGCTCAAATGAAATAATAGCCATTACTATTGACTTCTGTGCTCTTTCTAGGACCCTCTGTGGGTAGGCTATATCTTCTTGAGTGAGAGCAAGGGGCACATGTTGCTCCAGTTACTGTGAGCCTACAATTCTTCACCCAGTTCCAACATGTAAGTTTTTCCCCCACACCACCAAGCTGGGTGTCATAATTCAACTCAATTCTGACACTGTTTACTTGGAGATACTGTCAGATTCCACAGTTTAAAGGCTCAGTCCCCAAGACTAACCTCCACTTCAGATACCAATCATAGTCCAGGCTGTCGCCCATGCTTCTGACCAACTGGCTATAAATTAGAGCATCCCATAACCCAATCCTTGGGTTTGATTAATTTGCTAGAGTGGCTCACAGAACTCAGGAAAACAGTTTACTCACTGAATTACTGATTTATTACAAATGATTTAAAATGCAAATCAACAGCCAGATGAAGAGATTCATAGGGCAAGTGTGTGGGGAGGGGCACGAGGTGTCCATGCTCTCTGACATTGCCATTCTCCCCAAATCTCTACTTGTTCACCAACCTAGAAGCTCTCCGAAACTCCTTCTTTCCTTTCTTTTTTTTTCTTTTCTTTTCTTTTTTAATGCAGTCTTCATTACATATGGATGGTAGATTAAATCCTGGGCCATAGGTGATTAAACTCAATTTCTGTCCCCTTTCCCCTCCCACAAGGTCGGGAGTGGTGGGTGGAGGGTGGAGGTGGGGGTAAATGAAAGTTCTGACCCTCCAACAGGCAAGGAGCCCCATTCTTAGGTGACCTAAGGTCTTTCTGAAATTCACCTCATTAGCATAACAAAAGACACCATATGGCTCTCCACACTTAAGAAATTCCAAGCCTTGTAGGAGCTCTGTGCCAGGAAAGGGAAAAGAAGACCAAATGTACATTTCTTATTATAAATCACAATATCACATATCCTAAGCCAGCTTTCTCAGGAGAGAAGAATAAGCCTGTCATTTTTCAGCTTAAGGTTCCTTCCATGTAGCAATGCCAGTTGGAAAATAGTCAAGACACGTGGATATGTCGTTATTATGTATCTATTATGTCTCCATAGAGCAAAAAACTAAGGCTTAGAAAAATTAATTAACTTTGCAAATATCACGCAAATTGTAAGCTATAGAACCAATATTTGTATGTAGATCTATACATTTCTAAGTATTTTCTTTTAAACAGTATCTACTATTAAACTTAGATATACAACTAATCAAAATAAACACATATTTGTACCATAATTTGAGAAGGTTTTGGGTTCTAGAAAACACAGATTGGCATTAGTTACTTACCTGGCATAGTTATTTTATGTAGATAATCACAAAAATTTTGCTTCCATACTTGCTTTCTCCTTTGTGGTCTTCCTGCTG